CACACCAAGCCCTTCGGGTCTGGTATGGATATTAAGGGGGAACTCCACGCCGAAATTAAAGAAAAAAACAGCAGCGTGGGGTTCCCCCCAAAATCCATACCAGACCCTTATCCGAGCATGCAGCCCGGCAGGTAAGGAAAGGGGGGGAGAGCGAGCGCCCCCCCTCCTGAACCATACCAGGCCACATGCCCTCAACATGGGGGGGTGCTTTGGGGCAGGGGGGCTCCCCCCCAAATCACCTTGTCCCCATGTTGATGGGGACAAGGGCCTCTTCCCCATAACCCTGGCCGGTGGTTATGGGGGTCTGCGGTGGGGAGCTTATCAGAATCTGGAAGCCCCCTTTAACAAGGGGGCCCCCAGATCCCAGCCCCCCCCACGTGAATGAGTCTGCGGTACATGATCCTGCTACTCATTCACAAAAAAACAAAGTGTGGTGTAAAAAAAAAACACAGTACAGGGTCTTTGACAAGTCCTTTATTAAAACAATGTCCCCCAAAGTAGATCCAACGTCAATCACGGCGGTGGCGATCCAAAAAAAGAAAAACAAAAGTCCCGGTCCCGTCGGAGGCTTCCAGCATTCTGAAAAAAGTCTCGCTGACAGCTCTTAAATAGGTTAGGGGGGGCCAGCTGGGGACCTCATCCGAGAAACCCCGCCCCATTTCTGATAAGTCCGCCCCGGATTCTGATAAGCCCCCTACCCGCAGACCCCCACAACCACCGGCCAGGGTTGTGGGGAAGAGGCCCTTGTCCCCATCAACATGGGGACAAGGTGCTTTGGGGGGGAGCCCCCCTTCCCCAAAGCACCCCCCCCATGTTGAGGGCATGTGGCCTGGTATGGTTCAGAAGGGGGGGCGCTCGCTTGTCCCCCCCCCTTTCCTGACCTGCCGGGCTGCATGCTCGGATAAGGGTCTGGTATGGATATTGAGGGGGTCACCACGCTGTTTTTTTTTTTTATTGTTTTTTTATTGCAGACCTTTATTTTTACATTCAGCTGTCAAAATAAATATTATCTAGACCTTCTAAATAAGTAAAATCATTACAGAAATAATTATAAAGGATAAGAAACAAAAATAGAATCAATAGAACTAAGGAAATCTAATTAGAATACATAAAGATATGCCGAGTGCTGTTTGTTAAACACAGGAGACGTGACCGAGTGCCGGCTGTCAGAGGACTCCACACACAGGAGACGCGACCGAGTGCCGGCTATCAGAGGATTCCACACACAGGAGACGCCACCGAGTGCCGGCTGTCAGAGGACTCCACACACAGGAGACGTGACCGAGTGCCGGCTGTCAGAGGACCCCACACACAGGAGACGCCACCGAGTGCCGGCTGTCAGAGGACTCCACACACAGGAGACGCCACCGAGTGCCGGCTGTCAGAGGACTCCACACACAGGAGACGTGACCGAGTGCCGGCTGTCAGAGGACTCCACACACAGGAGATGCGACCGAGTGCCGGCTGTCAGAGGACTCCACACACAGGAGACGTGACCGAGTGCCGGCTGTCAGAGGACTCCACACACAGGAGACGTGACCGAGTGCCGGCTGTCAGAGGACTCCACACACAGGAGATGTGACCGAGTGCCAGCTGTCAGAGGACTCCACACACAGGAGACGCCACCGAGTGCCGGCTGTCAGAGGACTCCACACACAGGAGACGCCACCGAGTGCCGGCTGTCAGAGGACTCCACACACAGGAGACGTGACCGAGTGCCGGCTGTCAGAGGACTCCACACACAGGAGACGTGACCGAGTGCCGGCTGTCAGAGGACTCCACACACAGGAGAGGAGACGCACACCGAGTGCCGGCTGTCAGAGGACTCCACACACAGGAGACGTGACCGAGTGCCGGCTGTCAGAGGACTCCACACACAGGAGACGTGACCGAGTGCCGGCTGTCAGAGGAATCCACACTGAGATTTACTATTGAGCAGTGGCTCCACAAAAAGCAAGCGCCCACAGAGGACGTCTAAAATGTGTGTTCTGCACATGCGCATTTTATATCGGCCAAATAAGCTGCACAAATAAGCTGCACGGGCGTCTAGTTTTTTACTGTGTTGATTTGTTTTTAAAAAAAAATTTTTAAACACATTCTTAATTTTTTTTGAAAAGATATTGTTTAAAGTGAAGTCCTGATATTTGGCAAAGCAAATTTCAATGTGAACGTCTCTGCAGTGATTTTTCATGGTGTTAGACATGCCTCTTAGCAAGTCTGCTTTGTGAGTCTGATTCCTGGTGTGTGTCTCGTTAGTAAATTCGATTGGGCGTCTACTTATGGACGCTGCTCAATAGTTAATCTCATTGCGGGGTAAAAGTAGACGGTCGCTTGTAAAAATTAGACGTTCGCCCGGATATGCGCCCAGGCACAATAGTAAATCAGGGCCTCAATGTCTCCTATGATTGTTTGGGATGCTTTGAAAGCATATATTAGAGGCACGTGTATCAAAGAGAAATTTCCAGAATGAAGACTAACTCCAGACAGTGGGAGGTTGAGGCCGGCCAATCTGTAGCTAAGGCAGACATGCCTATCTTAGCAATACCAACCCTGATACAGAGAGGGGGTGCTTGCGGCACAACAGTTTTGCGCACTGTCCAACTTCAGCATGCTGAAAATTTTTTTCTTCTCAAGCCTTGAGGAGGGGGAAAAGACGGGTCATATTCTCGCAATCATTGCAAAAGCTCAGTGACCATCTTCTCATATCTCTTCTTTAAAACTGTCCTCGACTCAATTGGTCACAGATACCCCTCCATCTTACAAGGCTTTAGATCTTTTCATGAAACGCTCTACTCTACCAAAGTGTCTTCGGATGACTCTAGTATCGGGAGTTTTTTAACACTTCCTCAACTTACTATTCATCAAAGGCAAAAGCTTAATGCACCACTCACTCCTGAAGACTTGCAGATGGCTGGAGCTTCATACCCCAATTCCAAGGCTCCCGGCGGAGATGGGCTGCTGATGGAAATTTACAAATCTTTTGGGGAATACTTCTACCTGAACTACTTAAAATACTCCAGGTGGCATTGGAACAGAACTCCCTCCCCATGTATGAGGCAATAATAGTCGTACTTGAAGCCGGGGAGGAACCCAACCTTAGCAGAATCCTACCCTGCCCATATCGCTATTGACCTCAGACCTCATAATTATTACTGAAGTACTGGTGACCAGACTGACTAGGGTTATCTCTACACTTATTCACCCGGATCAGTCGGGTTTCATTCAGATCTACAGCAATCAATAGTCATAGGCTTTATCTTAACCTTCAAATCCCTTCTGATAATATGGGTGTAACGGAAGCGTAGGCAGGACAGAGCACACACAGAAGATTGGGAGACACAGAAATGGCAGGGAGGGTGATGTGTGCGCAAGCCAGGGACGATTACAGGCACGGGGGGTCTTCAGCGACAGGCAGGCAATCTCCCCCCTAGGCTTGGGGCCTCAGCCAAGCTCCCTCCATGACTGGACAGCGGATTGGAGACTCAGGCAACAGGCGGCAACCTACCACTGGGCAGGGGCCTTGGGCAACAGGTGGCAAACTACCACTGGGCAGGGGCCTCGGGCAACAGGCGGCAACCTACCACTGGGCAGGGGCCTCAGGCAACAGGCGGCAACCTACCACTGGGCAGGGGCCTTGTGCAACAGGGGCAATCTACCCCTGGGCAGGGGTCTCGAGCAACAGGCGGCAATCTACCCCTGGGCAGGGGCACTCAACGGGACTCTAGCTGTGGAGACTGGCCACAGCACAGCTCCCACCCAGCTTTCTAGGGTCATTGGGTTCACGGGGACTCAACGGGTTGCGATGGCTCAAACACTCAGGGGCACCACAGGTAGCTATACTCCGGGCATGCCATCAGGACACGGGTGGTCAGTGCACACACAGCGGAGACAGTTCAGGACACGAGTGGTCGGTGCACACACCGGGAACAGTTCAGAACACGGGTGGTCGGTGCACACAGTAGGCACAGTTCAGGACACAGGTGGTCAGTGAGCACAACAGGGATGGTTCAGGACATGGGTGGTCGGTGCACACAGCGGAGACAGTTCAGAACACGGGTGGTCAGTGCGCACAACAGGGACAGTTCAGGACACGGGTGGTCGGTGCACACAGCGGGGACAGTTCAGAACACGGGTGGTCGGTGCGCACAGCCGACACAGTTCAGGACACAGGTGGTCAGTGCGCACAAAAGGGACATTTCAGGACATGGTGGTCGGTGCACACAACAGGAACAGTTCAGGACACAGGTGGTCAGTGCACACAACAAGGACAGTTCAGGACACGGGTGGTCGGTGCACACAGCGGGGACAGTTCAGGACACGGCAGGCTTGCAGAGTGGGAGGGAGTTTTTGGTTAGATGGGTATTTAGGTGGTTAAAAATCGATGGATAGTTACGTAGATGAATAAAACGGTGGTTGATAAACGAGTTGTTGGGTAGTTCTGTAGTATGGGTTTCTTCAATTGTACCAGTCAAGAATGTAAGAAGACAGTGCTACACTGTGCATGGCTGGAGGTGATGTGTGGTGTATGTCCGCTGACTGTGCGGTGAGGGCTGGTTAGTTCATTGAGAGGTTCTACTAGGTCAACATGCGTCTTGTGATAGGATCGGTTTGGGTGTATAGATAGGGGTGGGTATGTTAGGTGTGTGTAGCGTGTATGTAATAGCATTGAACATTCAATAAGGAAGAGATGATAGGGACTGCTGGTGTTATGTGATTACAATGGATCATTTGTGTTAAATGTTTCTGTGGCCAGGCTATGACAGTGACAGGTATGGGGCTTTTCTGGGGTGGTGGGGTGACAAAGGTTAGAGTCTGGTGTTGAATGGTATGGAAGAGTTGTTAGGTGGATCTGGTTTAACTTATAAATATAGGTAAGTGCGATAGACTCTCTGAACGGTTGTACGTAAGAGTGACAGGGGGGACTGGCGGGTGTCATGATGAGTTGTTATCCCTAACGGATAAGAGTATAAGAGTGGAAGCTATCTAATGGAACGATGTATCGGTTGGAGGACCGGTGGGTGATGAAGTATAAGCGTTATGGGGTAGAATGTAGTGTAGAAATGTAGTGATGTAGAATTATCGTTGTATTAATGGTGCGATGTATTTAAGAGTTTTGGGTTCTGTAATATGAGAAAGAATGGATGAACTAAAAATACAAAGACAAGGGTGTAGGGTACGTTAATAGTGCCGACGTGGAAAGGCGAGTTAGTGCTATGAATGAAAGAATATGGTGCTAGTGGGGTAGATGGCGTATGTTATATGTAATAATGTTCATGGTATTGGATGATGGGAGAAGAGGTGTACTGTGTTGGTCTAGCTATATTGTAAGTATATGTTTTGTAATAAATGATATAGAGAGGCTCGGTTTATTCGGAGTGTATGGGGGTTTTAGGTCTGAGGGGGGTTAGTCATGTGTTGGGGTTTGGGGTGTGGGTGAGGGGGTTGGTGTTTTGGTGTGTTTTTTTGGTTTTGTGGGTGGGGGGGTGAGTGTGTTAGGGGGTGTGTATGGGGTAGAGGGGTTGCGGTGTGTTGGGGAAGGGGTATGCATATGTTGGTTGGGAAGATGTGGGGTGGGTGTTGGGGGATGTGGGGGGTTGAAAGTGGTATGGTTTATGTGGGTGTTGGGGGGGTTTTTTATTAATTTTGGGGTTTGGTTGTTATTGTTTGATTGTTGGGGGGTGGGGTGAGATGGGATTGGGTGTTGTGGGGTGTTAGGGTTTGGGGGGTTAGGGGTGTGGTGGTGTCGGTGGGAGGGGTTTTGGGGGGTGTGGGTTTGGGTGGAGTAGTTTGTGTTTTGGGGTGGTGTTTTGTGGGTGTTTGGGTTGTTGGTAGGGTGGTGGGTGGGGTTGTTTTGGTATGGGTTGTGGTTGTTTTGTTGTGGGGTGTGGGGTTGGGGTGAGTGTTGTGGGGTGGGGTAGTTTTGATTTTTTTTTATTATGTGTCCGTATTGTGGGGGTGGGGGGGGGTGGGTTTTGCACTAGGGTGGTTGGTGGGTTGTGTGGGTTGTGTGGTGTGGGTGGTTGGTGGGGGGTGGGGGTATTTTGTATATGTTGGTGGGCTATGAGTTTGTTATTTGGGGGGGTGGTTGGTGGGTTTTGCTGTTGTTTGTTTTGGGTTTTATTGTTGGGGTTTTTTTTTTTTTGGGGGATGTTGGGGGGGGTAGTTTGGTTGGGGGGTTTGGTTTTTTGGTGGGTGGGTGGGTTGGGGTTTGTTTGGTGGTTTGTTTTGTTGGTGTGTTTTTTTGTTTTGGGGGGGGGGTTTGGGTGGTTGGGGGGGTGGGTTTGGGGGGGGGTGGTGGGTTTTGGTGGGGTGGTGTTTGTTGGGTTTTTTTTTTGTGGTAGTGTTGGGGGGTTGGGGTGGGTTTGTGTGGTGGGGTTTAGGGGGGGGGTGGGGGTTGTTATGTGGGTGTTTTTTGTTGTTGGGGGGGTGTGGGGTTGGGTTTTTTAGGGTGGTGTGGGGTGGGTGTGGGGGTGTTGGTTGGGTGGTGGGGTGGGGTGGTGTGGTGTTGGGGGGTGTGGGGGGGTGTTTGTGTGGGTTTGTTTTTTGGGGGGGGGTTGTGTGGGGGGGGGGTTGGGTTTTGGGTGTGTTGTGGTGTGAGTGGTTGTGGGGGTGGGGGTGTGTTTGTGTGTTTGTGTGTTGGTTGGTGGGGGGGGTGTGGGTGTTTTGGGGTGGGGGTTTGGGAGGTGTTTGGGGTGGGGGTTGGTTTGGTTTGGGGGTGGGGGGGTTTGGTGTTTGTTGGGTGTGGTTGGGTGTTTGGGTGGGTGGGGTTGTTTTTGGTGTATTAGGGTGTTTTGTAATTGGTTTTTTGGGGGTTTGTTGGTTGTGGTGGTTTGTGATGTGGGGTTTTGTTGGGGGGGTGGTTGGGGGGGTGTTGGTTTTGTGTTTTGTGTGGGTGGGTTTGGGTTTTGTTGGGTGTTGGGGGTGTGTTGGGGGGTTTGTTTTGGGTTTGTTGTTGGTTGTTGATGGGTGTGTGGTTGTTTTTGTGGGGGGTTTGGGATTGTTGGGGTGGGGTTGGTTGTTTTTATTGTTGTTTTGTTTTTGGGGGGGGGTTTTTGGGGGTGGGGGTGGTTGTTTTTTGGTTGGGGGGTTGGGTGTTGTTTTGGGTTGTGGGTTTTGTTGGTGTGGGGTTGGGTGTTGGGGTTATTGTGGTTTTTGGAAGTGTGGTGATGGGTTAGGTGTGGGTGGTGGTGTTGGTTGTTAGGGTGTGGGGTGGGTGGTTTGGTTGGGGGGGTTGGGGTTGGGTGGGTTTGTTTGATATGGGGTTGTGGGCTGGTTGGTGGGTTTTGTTTTTTGGAGGGGTGTTTTATGTGGTTGTTGTGGTTTAATGGGTGGTTTTGGGTTGGAGGGTTTGGGGGTTGGTGTGGTGGGGGTTTTTTTGGGGGGTTTTAGGGGGGGGTTGTGGTTTTGTGTTGGGTTGTTTGGTTTTGGGGGGGTTTGTTTTGGGTGGGTAGTTGGGGGTTGGGGGGTTGTTTTTGTTGGAGGGTGGTGGGGGGGTGGGTGGGGGGGGGTGGGGGGGGGGGGTTTTGGGGTGTTGGGGGGATGGGGTGGTGAGTTTGTTGTGTTTTGGTGGGGGGGGTGTGGTTTGGGGGTGTTGATTGTGGGGGGGGGGTGGTGGGGGGGGTTTTGTTATTAAACTTGGGTGTTGGTGTGGGTGTGGTTTTGGGGTTGGGTTTTTATTTTTTTTTGGGGGGGGGGATGATGGGGTGTGGGGTTTTTTATGTGGGGTGGGTAGGGGTTGGGGTGGGGGGTAGGTGTTGTGTGGGTGGTGGGTGGGGGGTAGGTCATGTGGTTTGTATGGGGGGGGTTGTGTGTGTTTGGTGGGGGGTTTTTTTTTTGTGGGGGGTGTGGTTGGGTTTGTATGTTTTTGTTGTAGGGGTTGGGGGGGTTGTGTTTTTGGGTGGGGGTTTGGTTTATTGTGGTGGGTTGTTTTGTTGTTTTTTTGGGTTCCATGGTATTGTTTGTGGGGGGGTTTGGGTGGGGGTGGGTTTTTGGGGGGTGGGTGTTTTTTTTTGTTTGTTTGTGTTTTTGTTTGGGGTTGTGGGGGTTTGGTTTTTTGTGTGGGGGTGGGGAGGGGGTTATGTTGTTGGTGGTTGGGGATGATGTGGTGTGTGGGTGGGGGGGGTGTGGGTTTTGCTGGTAATGGGTTTTTGGGGGGTGGGGGGGTTGTGGTTTGTTTTGGTTTGTTTGGTGTTGGGGGTTTTGGTGTTGTTGTTCAATTTGTGGGGTTGGTTAGGTGGGTTTTGGGTGTGTGTGTTTGTTGGGGTTTGGTTTTTGTTTGGGTTTTTTTTTGGGGTTGTTTGAGTGTTGTTTGTGATTGTGTTGGGGGGGGGTTGGTTTTGATTTTTTGGTATTTGGGTTTTTTGGTTGTTATTGTTTGTTTTTTATGTGTGGTTTTGTGATTTTTGGTTGGGGTTGTAGGGTTGTTGTATGTGGTTGTGGGTGTTGTGGGTGGTTTTTTATGGGGGGGGGGGTTTATTGTATTTTTGGTTTGTGGTTTTGGGGGTTTGTGTTGGTTTGGGGTTAATTTTTTTTTTTGTTGGGGGGTTTGGTTTTGTGGTTGGGTTGTTTTTTTTGTGGGTGGTTGTTGTTGGTTTGTGTTTTTTTTTTTTTTTTTTGTTGGATTTGGGGTATTTAAGGGGGTGAGGGTATTTATTTTGTGGGGTGTGTGGTGGGTATGGGGTATGGAGGGGGTTAGAAAGAGGTTTAGGTTCTAATGGTAATGGTAGTGTTTTATTAAGGTGTGGTGTATTGTTTGTGTATGGGTTGTATTGGGATTATGGTGTGTGTAGGGGTATGTGGTTTATTTGTTCGTTAAGCGTTTTTATTATGGGTTGGGAGTCGGTTTTAGGAATGGAGGGATCAATTTGGATGCTTTTTGTTAATTAGTTGATTTGAAAGGAGTTATTTTTTGTAATGTTTTTTTAAAGAGGTACTAGGGTTGGCATTTGAAGTATGGATTGTTGGGTTTTGTGATTGTTGGAGGTGAGGGGTAATGTTGAGGTTTGTGCATAATATGATATTTATTTGTATATATTATTTTGGAGTGTATTTTGGAGGAGATATGTTTTTTGTTATTAAAGGGATGAATATTTTCGAAATAAGAAGGATAGTAACACAATTTTTTATAAAGATTGGAACAAAATTTGACAGTTCTTATTGGGATAGGTATTTTAAGATGTATACCGGCTATTTTTATAATAGATGACAAAGGGGCACTTCAAAAATTTGGGTTATTCAGGTGTTGTGTAAGGTATTAGGGAAAGCGCTCCGGTATAAATTGGAGTTTAAGCTTTATTGAGTAGTGCGGAGATGGGAAT